GACACAAACAGTGAACCAGCCTCCTCCCACAATAACACCTATAGGAGGCGGGATTATCGGGTAATAAGAGCATTTCTTTCAACTCTTGTTTTTTTGGTCTCAAAGCCTCTTAAGAGTTCTTAACTGAAAATGTACCTCTCTGTATTTATATTCAAGGGCTGGAACTCCACCAGCGGTTTTTAACCCGGCGAATCCTGCATCAAATACTCTGAACAATCCATCCTCAGGAAATACAGCGGTTTACGGATTTGATGGTTCACCTAATGGGAACAATCCAACACCAGCAGACTCTACTCACTTGCAGATTCGCTTTGGTCACACTATGGTGACAGCACTGATTCTTCACACAATGCTATTTTATTAGTAGAATACATAGGAGTTGAATTAGTTTTGTGACAGTTTGCAAACATTCAAGCTCTGTTAGAGTATTGCCACAAGAAGAAGCTAGGAATGTAAGACAATTTAAATTTGTTTGGCTCAACGGGACTGCTCAGGTTTCGGTGTTGTACAGAAAACCTCGGTTGTTTCTTTTTAAATATATCTCTTTAGGATCAAAGCAGAAACTCAGATGTTGTAACAAGGGATGTAATCTTAATCCTTCATAGATTGTAGGATACTGTCTATCTACTTTAATATGTTTCTAAAATGATTTTGTTGCTAATTCAACGCCTAGAAAAGGCAACTAATATCAGCATCGACATGGTGACAACAACCTTGAAACCTGATTTGTCCCAGAAGTTTTGGTTGTTAAAAGGATCAGCTTTACGATGTTTTTTTGCAGCCAATTGCTCCTTGAGTTCTTGTATTGCCACATCGTTTCGCTCTCCTATCTACAAGGCCGCAGTAAAACAGCTCAATTGCTACTGTGTTCATACAAATTACTATCCCAATTCCCACAGGTAAGAGCACGTGAACATTTACCTTCTGAAGTTTTCGAGTTTGGATGCGTGTTTCGCGAAGGCAAAATTCTAACTTCAGCACCTTCTTCTTAAGCTCCTGATCGATTCTTCTTTGATTCTCCACCTGCAATAGAAGCAATCTAATGTTTTACAGGCTTCACTGCATAAAAACCAAAAAGAAATCACAGAAATAAGAGAAGCTTAAAGCATGTGTTGTTACCTGATCCTCTAATTCCTTTGTCTTAAACCTCCAATGAGCCGATATAATCTTTAGTTCATCTCTAAGTCTTGCTATTTCATCATCTTTATCCGTCAAAAGTTTGTTGATTCTTTCAAAAGTCTTTGGAGAATCTTCATCTAGCAATTTCCAAACCTCAGAATTCTCCTTTTTCCTGACAACTGATACAGCCCGCATTATGTCACTTTCAACTTTCAACACCTCATCTCTTAGCTGCTTTTGTGAAGATTCTCTAGCTTGCAGCTCCTTTTGTAGTTTCTCTAGCTGCTCGCCGAGTCTACTTACTTGATCCTCATGCTCTTTCAAGGAACCGGTCCTCTCATGCAATTGTTTCGAAAGCACTCTACACTGAGACTGAGCTGATTCAGCCGACAAAGCACTTACCTCTGCAGTTGCCTGTGTTGCTGCTAGCTGTGACTTGATAACACCCAATTCCTTCAGATACTGCACAAAAACCCAAGAAGACAGACAAATTGGTAAGTTAAGACCAAAGTCCTGTTCAAAGGACAATAAAGAACCAGCAATTTGTGAACAATCAATGAATTTGTAGCTATAACAGATCTATGCGTTCAATTCTTCAGCATAACCAAGCAAACTAGTGAAACAAAGACAATCAAGAAATGTGAAGAGCAAAACAATCCTAACCTTCTCCGTAGCAACATCCGATGCACGAATCTGCTCAACTTTCTTGTTTAATTCCTTACCAAGTTCGAGCATTTCATCTTCCATTCTCTTAGCTCTTGTTTCTGCTTCCTGCTCATGTAGAAATCATCACCATATATATAAGCTCACCAAAAGTCTCAAACCAAAAACTAAAACACAACAGAAAAAGTGATAAGCTGATAATATCATGAGAGCTTGCCTGCCTCGACATGGCTTCTTTTGAACACGAACGCTCCTGTTCCACGAGACGAGTCCTCGCTTGTTTCAACTCAGTGGCTAAAGACACAACATTTCTCCTAAAACTCTGCTTCTTCTCACTCAAGTCCTTCAACAAAGGATCAACTTCTCTTAAGCTTACAGAAGTTGGCATTTCTAGATCGAATTAAAATCACTGTTCTTCGATCTAGACAGATATATTCTCCAAAGAAACCCAAATTTCAGAAACTGAAAATGAAACTATTCATGTTTATCACGTGACCCTGTACATAACAACGAAGAAAATCTCAGAATGAAAAACACACATAAATGCCTAATCTCAAGGATGATAATTAAGAATGTGAAACCAAATCTGTCCACAAGAATTATATCCTCTCTAATCTTTGTCGTAACAATCAGTTTCTTATAATCACAGCCATTTAAAAAAAAAAACATGCAATCGAGCTAATGAATAACACAAGAGAGACAAAGACACTTGTGTCGTCTCTTTCGTGTCAATAAATAAACCTGATAAAGACGAATACTTTTCAGTATACAGCCAAACCAAAAAAAAACGTGACCTTTTTTCAAACTTTGAAACTCTTACAGAATTTTTTTGAATCTTCAAACCCTAAAAATCCAAACTTTCTCTCGACCCACCAGTCTCCATCGTCGTCAATGCTCAAAAGCTCCAC